CGTTCGCTTACACAAATTAAATATAACATCGATGGAGACCTCCTTTTCAGCTGCTCAAAGGACCACCGAATAAATGTGTGGTACTCACACAACGGAGAGCGCCTTGGTACATATGATGGACATAATGGTACCATTTGGACAGTCGATGTAGACAGTACGTTTTCTGCTTCGAGTTTCACCCCCTTGCTTTACTTCTTTCTCCCGTCAAACTCTGTGTCCTCTACCCATTCAGAATGAAAGGCTTTAGCACTAAAACAAATCGCTCGTCACAGGCGAAACCAGATTTCTTGTCTCAGGTGCTGCCGATAACACAATGCGACTCTGGGACGTACGGACGGGTAAATGTCTCTATACATGGGAGTTCCCTACTGCTATCAAGCGTGTTGCATTTAGTGATGATGACAAGTTCATTGCTTGCATAACCGAACAACGAATGGGACACCAAGGAGCCATCCGCGTCTTCCCCATCAATCGCTCTGGGAATGCCACCGACCAGCCCGCGGAACCATCTTCCATCTTCCACCCCATTGAATCCAAAGCTACTGTTCTCGCTTTTTCAAACACCTCTGATTTCCTTGTGACTGGCCACGAGTCGGGAAAGATTGCATTGTTCAATGCAAAGACAGGAGAGGAGGTCACTTCGAACAAAAGAGCACATCGAGAAGTTGTCACAGACATACAGATGAGCCAAGATAGGAGTTACTTTATTACCAGTAGCAAGGACAAAACCGCCAAGGTTAGTGTCCCATCAGCGAAGCTGCCCTAGCGGTAGGTACCCTGAGACTGACCTTTAAAATAGCTATTCGAGACCAAAACTTTAGAAGAACTGAAGTCGTACTCCACGGAGACACCGCTCAATAGCGCAGCAATAGCGACCAAGAGACCCTATGTACGTATGCCAAGCATTTTTTGACGGCCGCTGTCATACTGATTTGGTGATAGATCTTACTTGGGGGTGGCCAAGAAGCGATGAACGTGACGACTACCTCGTTACGACAAGGAAAATTCGAGACTCGGTTTTGGCATAAGATCTTTGAGGAAGAGGTTGGGCGAGTCAAAGGACATTTTGGACCGATTAACACGTAAGTAACGCTTATACTCTCGTTACTGGTTTTGACAG